CTAACCTAACCTAACCTAACCTAACCTAACCTAACCTAACCTAACCTAACCTAACCTAACCTAACCTAACCTAACCTAACCTAACCTAACCTAACCTAACCTAACCTAACCTAACCTAACCTAACCTAACCTAACCTAACCTAACCTAACCTAACCTAACCTAACCTAACCTAACCTAACCTAACCTAACCTAACCTAACCTAACCTAACCTAACCTAACCTAACCTAACCTAACCTAACCTAACCTAACCTAACCTAACCTAACCTAACCTAACCTAACCTAACCTAACCTAACCTAACCTAACCTAACCTAACCTAACCTAACCTAACCTAACCTAACCTAACCTAACCTAACCTAACCTAGCCCGGAAAACAATTAAAGAGTACCATTAAGACAGAGGTGCGCATTTTTACGGACGGGAGCAAGATTGAGGGCCGGGTCGGCGCAGCGTTATCCATTTGGAATGGCGAAGCCGAAACCAGGGCCCTCAAACTTGTTCTCTCATCCCATTGCACCGTCTACCAGGCTGAACTTTTGGCCCTATGCAAAGCGGCCAGTGAGGTTCTCAGGCGAGGCGAGACCACGTTTGGCATCTTCAGTGACAGCAGAGCCGCACTCCTGACGGTCATTAACTGTCATGCCCTCCATCCCCTGGCGGTAGAGGCCAGAGGCGCCATTCGGCAAGGCATGGCCCAGGGTAAGGAAATATCCTTATTCTGGGTCAAGGCCCACGCGGGGTTGGCGGGCAATGAGCGAGCGGACCAGCTCGCCAAGGAGGCGGCTCTGGGGCTGAAGAAAGCACCGGACTACGGTTTGTGCCCTGTTTCATTCGTGAAGCGTGGTCTTCGACAGGCCACGCTTGGGGAGTGGAACAAGAGGTACAAAGAGGGCGAGACCGCCTCCGTTACCAAGCTCTTCTTCCCCTGCGCACTGGCCGCATACGGCGTCGTTCGTAAATTGGAGATCGCCGGCAGTACGACCCAACTATTAACGGGGCATGGTGGGTTCTCCGAATACTTGACACGCTTCAAGTGTAAGGAGAACCCAGCATGCATTTGTGACCCGAATGTCAGCGAGACCGTCACTCATCTTATCACGGAATGCCCTACTTTTGATAAACAAAGGTTTGATGTAGAGCAAGAATTGGACGCTAGGGTGACAGTCTCAAATTTGAATATGATAATTAGCGGCAAAAGACGAGATATCTTTTTAAATTACTGTACTAATATAATAAAGAAGGTTAATAAAAGAAATAGGATTAATTAACATATGATACAAGATAATATAAGATTATTGTTGTTTATCATATAAGAAATATAGTAATATAATAGAGGTAAATTGTATAGTAAATAGTATTTACATTCAGTCAATGAGACTGTAACCTAGTTGTAAGAAATATAACATGTAATAAGTTTAAGCACAATATGTATAACCTACGATGTAAATGTATTGTATGTAATAAGTTAAGTATAATATGTGTTACCTACGACGTAAAAGTATAATATGTATTACCTACGATGTGAAAGTATAATACGTATAACCTACGATGTAAATGTATTGTATGTAATAAGTTAAGTATAATATGTATAACCTACGATGCGTAAGTATAATATGTAATAAGATAAGTATAATATGTATAACCTACGATGTGAAAGTATAATATGTAATAAGATAAGTATAATATGTATAACCTACGATGTAAAAGTATAATATGTAATAAGATAAGTATAATATGTATAACCTACGATGTAAATGTTTTGTTTGTAATAAGTTAAGTATAATATGTGTTACCTACGACGTAAAAGTATAATATGTAATAAGATAAGTATAATATGTAATAAGATAAGTATAATATGTATAACCTACGATGTAAAAGTATAATATGTAATAAGATAAGTATAATATGTATAACCTGTATAACCTACGATGTAAATAAAGGAAAAATTGTAGTGTAATTTAATAACCCTGAATAAAGAAAAGTAGAAAAAAAAATAGAAGATAGAGAATAGAGAATAGTAATAGCAGGAATCCCACCTGGACAGAGTGAAAGATGTATGATAGAAAGACAATAGTATGCAGCATGAAAGTACGAGAAGTAGCAATAGTGAGAACTTGAATGAACGTAATAGTGTACAATAGGCTCCAAAGAACATTGGAGGTGATAGTATTTAAAAAAAAAAAAAAAAAAAAAAAAAAAAAAAAAAAAAAAAAAAAAAAAACCTAACCTAACCTAACCTAACCTAACCTAACCTAACCTAACCTAACCTAACCTAACCTAACCTAACCTAACCTAACCTAACCGGCGTCAAGGAAAAGACATTAAAACCCGACAGTTAAGTCGTTAAAAACCTGACGCTGCCGTCACCTCGTTACTGGCGAGGTGATGGCGCGCAAGGGGAGGGGCTTTGCAGGGGCGGGATTGAGCTGGACTGGCTCTCCTGGCGGGATCGAGACGGACTGGCTCTCCCGCCCCGCAGGCCACGAGAGTCGCCACGGGCGGTGGGTCGGGGGACCTGCCGCCCTATGCTAGTGTGGCGGAATGCGCCCCTCTGTGTTCATGGGGTGCATTCTTTAGGAGGCCCTACCATCTGGGCACGAGGCGAGCCCGTTAAATAGGGCGTCCCTAGCCGAGTCGCGGTGAGCAAACTATCCCGTGGCTCGGATTAGGCGAAGGAGGAACACCGTGGTGGTTTAGTGGGTAGTCTGGCCCGTCAGGAGTCCCACACGAAGTGAACCCCCCGCCCCCGCGGGGGGGGAGCGAAGTGCGTAAATGCATTCCACCACGTAAAAAAAAAAAAAAAAAAAAAAAAAAAAAAAAAAAACCTAACCTAACCTAACCTAACCTAACCTAACCTAACCTAACCTAACCTAACCTAACCTAACCGAGTGAATTTTTTAAAATCGACCTAAAGTTTTCTAGCTAAAATTGACTTTGAACTTGTACCTAAGCGTTCTATTGATACACCATGTAGCTATTATATACTGTTTCGGATAGATATTATTGGAATTTATCACAAAACTTATATATTGACGCCTATATATTTACTTAGAAAAATTTCTTTAAAAAATTAATAACTCTTTTGTTTTCTAACATATATCGATCGTTTTGGTTTCTAAAATTCGGCAACGGCGTCGCCTATACGCGGACACCTCTTTTGCGGGGTTTCGCTGTGTAGATTTTCTAAAATTTTCAATTTTCGTTGTAATTCTGTAACAAAAGCTACAAAAACATACTTTTAAAAGTATACCTACCTGTGTTCCTGGTCGTTTTGGTGCTGGAAGCTTACACCATCGCTGCGTTGACACCTCCCCTGCATACCACCACCGCCTGAAGCACCTCCGGCGTCCCGTCGGAGACCTATCACCTGTGAAAGATAGTTTTCAGTGTAAAATTTTGTTAAATTTACACGTTTTCGGCCTATAATTTGGCAACCCCTTATTTGTTTTTCCAAATTATTACATATTCGGATAGGGCTCGTCTAGCCCTATCACCCGACACCTCGTTTGTTAAAATCCGTCACATAGAAAATTAAAAAATTGCCCGCCCACCCTCCCGGTTTTCTCTAGGGAGGTAAATATTGACCAGGTGAGCAAAACATTTTGTTGTTTTGCAGGGGAGAAAAATATTTTTTATTCTTAAATTTAGTTAGCTATTAAGTCTAGTCTAGTTTCGTTAATTTAGACACCGGGACCTATACATCCCTTAGAATAGACAACCCTGCACGCAGGGTATAATATAATATAGTTAAGGATAAGAGTAGCGTTTTTCGCTATTCTTCATAGTTATAAGTTAGAATAAGTTTCT